CCCATACTTCCATCAGATCTTTGTTCAAATATCATCTCAGTAAGGTCTGCAGGAAGCATTCTAATTTCAAATTGCAGTCTTCTCCAGGGAGTCCCTATCCCCCTTCCATCCTTTTTCTTCCTAGCACATAAAACTATCTATCTATCTATCTATCTATCTATCTATCTATCTATCTATCTATCTATCTATCTATATCTATCTATCCTGTTGATATCACTCCACTAGAAGGTCAGCTCCATGGGAACAGGGATGGTTTCCTCTTGTTCACTGCTGTATTCTTAGAGCTCAGAAACAGTGCCTAGTAAACGCTAATAGTTGTTGAATAAGTCAATGTATCTTACAGATCTTACAAGGGACAGCCATGTTACCATGAATGAAAAGCTCTTCATTCTGACAAGTAATAATTTAAATCTAAATTGTTTTATTAGAAAAACTTCTGGAGATGTTTGGAAACTTGGCTCAAAGCCTTAGAGCCTGCATTTTACCAGATACTGTGCAAGGTGAAAAGATACAAATACAAACAGGAAAAGACCCTGCCTTCATGGAATTCAATCTAACAGGGAAGGCAGGCATGTCAACAAACGATCCCCATATTATAATATAACCAAAGTACATTCAGAGTGTCAAGACCAAGGCTGACACAGATAACACAACATCAAAAGATGTTCAGGAGAGGCTTAAAAGATGAGGTGATATTTTTAGCTAGATCACAATAAAGTAGGGTTTTACTAGGTATTCAAGGGGTGACAATTATTTCAAGCAGAAATTATTAGACAAATAGGAAAGGTGCAAAGAAATGAATACATGTGGCATATTCAGAGAAAGGTACAGAAATGTAGGTGTGGTGGGACAATAAGATGGGACTTCTCTAACATTCTGAAAGTATGGTAGACACTGAGAGACTTCAAGCAGAAAACTGAAAGATCATAGTTATGGTTAACAAAGGAAATGCTTATGATAGTAAAAAAAAAAAAAAAAAGTCTGGACCAGGTTACCAAACAGATGAGGTAAAACATGATTAGGGGTTCTTCATCATTCTGGGGCCAGGGACTGTTCCAACAGTCTGAGAAAGCCCGTAGACTCTTTCTCTGAATAAAGCTTATAAATGAATGAAATAAAATACATAAAATTACAAAGGAAACCAATTATATTGAAGTATATAGTTCATGAAGTATATAGTTAAATATATATTTAAAAATTACATTCTGCTATAGTAATATATGTAATAAATATTAAAAACAGAATATTATTACATAATATATACTTTCAAAGTTATGGTGAGCATAAACATTATTTCAAACTATACGGCAGTGATTCAAAACAGTTCAAGATATATATCTCATATATAATGTGGTATGAAAACATCTGGGTTTTTATGGGTGACAATATCGCAAGTACTACTAATATTACTGTTGTGTGTTGTCTATATTCATAATGAAAGGCAACACTTGATTTTGGTTAGAAGATAGTGAACGTAAAGATGTAATTTTGTTTCCTATCCATGTCCATGGGTCTTAAGAACCCTTCACAAAGTCTAAGGTCCAGGCAACAAGATCGGAAATGAAAAGAGATATTTAGAGAGAATATATTTCAAATAAATAAACATCCTCTGTTAAGTTAAAAAAAAATGGCAAGTAGATAAAATAACCCTAACCTACACTGGACTGACTCCAGAGAGTAAAAAGGAAATATCCCTATATCAACTGTTATTTAACAGTTTCCTTTACTTTGCTAAAAAGAGCACAAACAACGGTAATACCACCAAGCATGATTCATTTTCAAGATGAATCCCTCCCTCTTCAAAGTTTACATTGTTTTTGACCAGCATCAAGACTGTTTATCCACACAAACTGTAAATACATCATTTTTAGAACTAACCAACAACAATGCCCACTTTGTTTTGACATGTGAGATACAAAAAGAACATGAAGAAAAATGACCATCACTCCTGATGTCGGTGCTTTAAAAATGAGAAAAACTAGACAGAGTAATGGGGTGAAATTCCAACATAATAAAATTTTAATATGTGTTATCGGGAGGAAAATGCCTTGCTTTCCAAAGGGAATGTTAAGTATAGCAGTAGTCTCAGGCTATAATCTCCTCTTGGAGACGTCTTCTGTTAGCTTTATGCAAAAACATGAAGAGAGCTGTGACAGCAATAAAGCTAACAGAAAACAGTATATTTTTACTCAGAAATTTAAGTATTGCTGTTCAACTATTTGGTTTTTTTACACATGACAAATCTTTCATTGCTTTGCATTTTGCGCCCTACAGCAGAAATATATTGAAAGGTATTTGTTAACAGTAATTTAATATCTATCTTTTCCCTTGGACTAGAAGATACCTTGGCAGAGATAGCAATTTTTGATGCACATTATGCCCAAAGCCTAGCACAGAACCTGGTATGTGGAAAGCTTAATAAGGAAGGAAGAAAAGAGAAGCTCAAAAGAATACCCTCTGAAGCTGTATAAATATAAGGACTACAAATCCTTCCTAATTTTTCTACTAATACATTTGGTTCTCTGGTCAACCTAGCTGCCTACATGCACACTGAATCTCTCTCCAAAAAGAGTTTGGTAAAATTTAAGTAAAGGAAAATATTCAACACAAAGTGACAGGTCCTCAAAGAACTTATACTATCACCTAATTATATGACAAAATATTTATACCTAAAAATGTAAGTAATTAGGTAAAATTTCTTGTGATGTTTGAAAATGTAAATATCTCACAGCTTTCTAAACTTAAAAAAAAAAATTTGAAATACTTCATTAAATTTCTCCTAATACTGATTCTAAAAGATTTTCAAACCTGAAGGTCATGGATCACAATTCCAGTTCAATATACAAGAATAACAACTGTTTTTCTACAAATAATAGAACCAAAGCAGAAAATATCACCTAAGGAGAAAACAGAGGCCCTAATTTTTTTTGAGTTACACAATTTCTCCCCAGAGTTTCTATATTTAAAACTTCCTACAGAAAATACTTACCTAGAATTGATTAGGTATTACAAAAAGATATGTGTTCAAGCAGAAGCTAAAACAAATAAGAATAGGTATGCAGCCAAAAAAATTGCAAAAAAACAAATACTTGTACTCACATGTTCGTCGCACTATTCACAATAGCTAAAAGGTGGAAACAGCCCAAATGTCTATCAATAGATGAATAAAAAAGTGTGGTATATACATACAATGGAATATTATTCAGCCATAAAAAGGAACAAAGTACTGATACATAGTATAATGTGGCTGTAACTCAAAAACATTATACTATGGGAAAGATGCCAGAAACAAAAGGTCACATATTGTATGATTGCAGTTATATGAAATATCCTGAACAGGTAAACCCACAGAGATGGAAAGCAGGTTGGTGGTTGCTACGAGCTTGGGGAGAGAGAAGGAGTAACTGCTTAAAGAAGCTGTGGTTTTCTTCTGGGGTAAAGAAAATGTTTTGGAACTAGGGAGAAGTGGTGGTTTCACAATACTGTGAATATACTAAATGTCACTGAATTGTTAACATTGAAATGGTTGATTTTATGTTATATGAATTTGAGATCAATTAAATATTGTTTTCTGTAGTAACCATAATCTCTCTATATAAAATTCCCTATTCTTAAAAACCTAAATTGGTTATCTGTCAAGGAGAATTTGCAGTGCTCTAGAAAAAGTGTCATCTAATGTAAACAAATATTTTCTGTCAGTCTAGCGAGATTGAAATGGTAAAACCAATCTGGTATTATCTACCAAAGTCAAGGTGTGCATACATTATAACCTAGCATTTCTACTTGGAAACGAATACACATTTGCACCAAGAAAATAAATACAGAAATGTTCATTGCATCATTATACATAATAACCCCACACTGGAAACTACCCAGATACACATCAACAGTAGTAGAAAGGATAAACAAATAAGCAGAAGTATAATTATGCAATGGAATATGTAGGAGCAATGGAAATAAATGAAGTAAACTTACATAGAACAAGATAAATTAATCTCACAAACATAATTTTAAAGAAGCTTAATATTCCAAAATATACATGCTCTGTAATTCCATTTATATAAAAGTGAACAACAGTATTTAAGGATACTTCCTTAGGAGAAAACTATTTTTGAAAAGTAAGAAAATAATTACCAAAAAGTCAGAGTCATGGTTTACTTTTATGGAAAACGAGCATGAAGGGGGAATTCTGCTAATGTTTCATTTATTGGTTGGGGTGATAGTTACACAACTATTTCCTCTAAGGTAAATTATTGAGCTATACATTTTGTTGTTGTTGTTTTTCCTACAACATCTTGATAGAAATCTCACAGCAATGTATTATAAAATAAAATGCAAATGCTGCGTGCTCCAAAATACACATAACTCATGACCATGCTTCTCCAACAATGCATATTTCTTAATGAGCTATAGAGTGCTGACTTTGGTTAAAAATGGAGTTTTCTGGAAAAGATCTATAGATATGAGATCAATCTCTAAATTTATGCAAATAGTCTCGAACTATTTGCTGGAGTGCCCCAAAAATGTATACAAGTGGACACTTTGGTCAACATTGCTCAAGCAGTAGTTCACCATAATCAGAAGTGTCTGGACGCTGATGGTAACCACTTTGAGCACCTCTTGTAATTGCAGAAGTCAAATGTGACTTGTATTCATCTTTTGTTATCGGTATATATTGAGTATTACAATTTTAATACAGTTTTCCTTTCTTAAAATGTGTATACATTTTTTTGGCACCCTCTGTATATATGACACCTAGTATCCTGTATATACCGGAAAAGTTAGGGAGTTAAAGTAGCATGATAAAGATCACCATTACTATATTGGTTTCAATTTGTTAAATTATTTAATAAATTAAGACTGTCCAAAATGAACGTAAGATCTTGTCTTTGTGTGAACAGATTAGAAAAATGGATTTATTTTATCCCAGATCTCTAAGCTTAAGGATAAAGGGAAGAAGGGTTATAGGGTTCACTGGAGAGAGAGAAAATGAGGTTTACCATGCAGCGGTGATCCAGAAGGGCTGCTTGATAGGCCTGGAACAGGACTACAGCGACCTCCTTGCTTAGATGTCAGTTCTTGTTCAATCTCTTCCAGCCCCGCACTTTTCTGGAAACGGCTCATGCGATTCACGACTCGTGGCGACATATGTGTTCGAACACAAGGTTGTCCACCATAAGGGTTGATTGGGAAAACGTGGGAAGTCCCTCGGAGTGTACTGACCACAACCCAACGACAGTCATGGCTGAAACAGATGTCTTGTACCTAGAAATGAGATATGGAAAAACACAGAAATGATTGAAACCATCTAAGAGTATTATACATCTATCATCCAATGTGAATCGGAATGCTTGCCTCATTACCAAATTTACCTAAAATCAGGTTATAAATTCTAAAAAATATATTGTACAGATGAGTTTCATGGCGAATACTGATCAAAATTCTATATCAGGGATTTGATAAGATTTAGAACAGAAAATTCTCTCTTTTGCTGCATGAGTGCTAAGTCAGAAAACGGGACCTAGGTAGTTTTACCCTGGAGATAAATAAATGAGGTTTAAGATAAATAAATGAGGTTTATTTCTCTAAATGAATTTGCCTTCTAAAAAGCACAGAATAGTTAAAATAAAAATATACATTATACAAAGTGGGTGAGGTCATTAATCCCTTCATTCACTCAACAAATAGTCATTAGATCCCATGCTAATAAGCACTAGGAACAAAGTGGTGAATAAGAAATAATCCTTGGGGACCGGCCGAGTGGCACGATGGTTAAGAACT